AATTATGTGTTATCTCTATAGAAAAGTTCTTACTTCTGGTATAAAAAAGTAGGTTCAACATCTGAAATAATAAGCAGTAAAATGTCACATAATATTTATTTCTGTACAATTGATATATTCATTTCATTTGTTGTTGTACATACTTGCTTACACTTGTGTATACATAGATACATATTATATCCCTTTCAGGTAACATTTGCTATATGGGGTGTCATAGCCTTAAAACATGAGGGAAGGAGATTGCACAGGTCACAAAAACACATAATCACATTTATCTACAAATAGTTACAGTGAGAAGATCATCACTGCATTATTCATCATAATGGGCATGAGTTTACCAAGCTAGAGCGTATCTTGAATCATTCCTTACATTTCATATCATTTTCATTCCAGAAAATGAAATAGTCACATTTATATTAAAATGGACAAATAGTATACAGCCTGAATGAATTCTTCTTCAAGACTGTCTTAATAACATTTAATTATTTACATGTATATACAACCCTTTCACGCATTTCAACCTTCATGATATCCTTCATTTGGAGAAGCAAGATCTACTGTTGCGTTTCCAACTAGAGGTGTCACCATTTTTTGTGCTAAAATGGCACAATACTGATACAGCATTCTTGCAATACAAAATACTAACAAATCCTTCACGAATTTCACTTAATATCTAGCCTATATGTAAGTGAATATTTATAAACATAATCTTACATAGTTGCAAATAGTAACATTCATTCACCAGAAATTTATGCCCATACAATGGCATTTATTACTAAGTTATTGTGAAATCAGTTTATCAAACTAACTTGCATGAAAGTTTTGCATTGGAGGAACTTTTGTCCCCATTATAAGTAATAAAAGGCTGATATCAATAGTACTTATATGAAAATTAATTTAAAAAAAAATTATTTGTGTGATTTGATAATGAAATAACTTTTGTCAGTAGTTATTCAAAATTTTTCAACAAATCATAAATAAAATGGTTACATCTTTGCGTAACAGGTGTGGATGCAAAACACATATCTCTAATATATTTATAAAAGACAATCATTCAGTTTAACAGTTCACATCAATTTAACAATAGTATATTTTCATGACATTTTCATTTTAAAGTCTCTTATGATACATATGTGGGAAGGGATGTAGACAACAGTGATCACACATAAACATATTTTGATAAGAATTGTTAGATTTTATTGTAAGTGATATCACACTGCAAATAGAAGAAAAAATATTTTTCATGTAAGACTAATTAGAAAATATTAAAATTAATGTGTACTAAAAAGAACATTTATAACATTGAGGACGAAGTATCTATTTGATGATGGACAAAATTATAGGATATTTGATGAAAATTTGAAATAAAAATTCATAAAAAATGTTTACTTAGAGTTTTCTTCTCTAAAACATTGCAAGTAATACTGTAAAATATATCAATATTAAATGAAATTTGACCAAATATTAAAGGGGGGATTTAAATTCAAGCTAAGATCAAATCTTGTGCTTTAAGAGAAACATTCAAAAGAGTAGTTTAATTATGCCATTCAGTTACTGATTACAAATATTAAATTTGCACAATGCATTGTAGATAACCATCTTTTCTGATAAGTTTGTAATGACCTTTTAATAGAATAAATAATAAAAAATTCAGACAATGATTTTCACTGCATAACTGAAAAATCTCACAAATTAAATTGAAACAGTAGCTCTCACTTTTACAACATTTCAGATCATCAAATTTAAAATGTGTAAAGAAAAGTGGAAGAGTTTTATTAGAGAGCATACACAACATATTATTTACCCTAACATTTTCAAGACTCTTTTATTGAACATGTCAATTTACATATAATTAAATGTAATATAATGCTAATAATTAACAGTTCTCGTTTCACTTTCAATATGTGCCAAGGTTTGGGTTGATTTTTATTTATTTACTCAAAGAACAGAAAAAACTGTACATTATCTATGGAAGTGTAGTACCACCTTTGCTCATTTTCTTTAGCTACATACTCTCTTTCGAACCTGTTAGCTGTAAATAGTTAAATGATGAATGAAAGCTTAAAAAAAATGGGATTTGAAAACCAGACATTTCGCTCCCAAAACTTATTTGCATTGATAACTAACTAAAGGTTTGATTTTTAATTTTTCTAATAAAATAGAAACCCATACCCTCAGCACTGCTACTACAACTAATAAAAGGAGAGCTCAATAAAACATGCTCATAGTGAAGAAACATTTATGCCTTTAAGCAAAACAACACATCAATTGAAGGCAAAAAACATTATAAAATGTCAAATGTTAGGAAAGTCAATATTATCTTTCTTAGGAAAATAATTAAAGATATGCTGATACATTTTGGACTCATTAGGTTTGTATACTTAAGAGTTATATGAAATGCCTTAATGTGAAAGAAATCAGTGTTGAATTTCAGCAATCTTATGAGTTTCGTGGAAAAATGGACTTAACAGTTTATTTTCAAGTTGGATTCATTTAATGAATTTGTCAGTGAAATAACAAGTAGGGGGAGGGGGGGAGGAAAGAAAGAAAAAAAGAAAAGAAAAAAAAAGAAGGGGAAAAAAAGAGGAAAAATATCCACACCTACTCAGATTTGTACTTCCCTTATTTGCTTCATACAGTTTTATTTTTTGTTGACAAAAAATAAAATCAACTTAATTGAAATAAAATTCTTCATTCAGTGTAATCAGTAACATGCTAATCTGATAGTAGGTTGATAGTAAGTCATTAATATCTTCAGTGGCTTTTCCGTTGCGTGTAAGCAACTGTTTGAGTTTTGGAGTCAAAAGAGGTAAACAATGCATTGTGAAAACTTGCTCTGAAATAATGCTACTACACAATATGACTAGAGAAACAAACACATCTTGATAGAAATTAATTGTTATGTTTCTGCTTTCTATAAATTGTTGTGCGAGAACAGCATTCTCATTAATAGTGAGTTTGATTTTGATAATTTAATATCTTATGGTGAATTAACAGTGGAAATGTATTTCCATTTATACATATAGGTATATTTTCTCAAAATATGGAGACTAATTTCAGAACATTATTAAGAAATATATTACATAGAAGAAATAGATCATACACAATTGCACATAGAAGATGAAATAAGTGGTTTTTGTTTTGAATTTGGTTCATGAAAGCAGAAATAGAGAATTAGAAAGTTAGAATTAGTTTTAATTAACAGATTTTTTTAATGGTAACTTGATAATTTTACCATTTTAGAATGGTAAATTCTCACCAATATCACAACTCAGATTCAGTGGTGCTAAAATGGTAATATTTTTAGAAAACAAACCAAATAAAATAAACCATGTGAAAATACTTTTCAAGAACAATGGCATATATTTTTGGTTAATTACCATGTGATTCAATTTATCTGTCCATTTAAAACTGGTTGTATGTTGAAACTGAATTTGTTTGATTTTAGCAAAAACTGAGAAATAAATTTTGTGAAAGAGTATATGATTTTTTTAATGCTGAGGACACGATAGAAAATGCCAGTTCTTAAAAGTGTTGGCATTTTAAAAATGATCAAGAAGAATTTGAGTCAAATGAAAATAGTGATCAAACAGTAGGAAAGATGTATTTGTTTACATTCAAAAAGAGAAAGCTAAGTTAGTCATGTAAGGAAGGATAGAAGACAATAGTGCAATGGGTAATAGGTGATTATACATAGAAACTAGACACAGTGATTTCTTTCAAAGTTGTGAAGAAGGATATGATATACAAAAGATGATTCACTGGATTAATTCGCCCCGTTTCACCGAATATTATTACCTTCTTACAATAGAAGGTTATTATATTAACACATATTATTCTCTTATGTATGAGGTATTCATATATTCATATTTCTTTCACACTTCTTTATTTACAATTGCACATGCATTCGTCTTTTACGATCTTACATATAACTTAATCGCTTTTAGAAACACCAATTGATACAAAAGAATATTCAACATTTCTTACTAAAAGGAGAGTATATTTTGGAATATGATCATAAAGGTTATTTCATTGATAAACCTTGTTTTGAAATCTAACCCTTGTGATTTATTCTCTAGAATATACCAGAAACCTATTAGGAAAGACATGGTAGTTTACTTTCTTTGTGTATTTGTAATTTTTCAGTACAAATGTATATGACTAGATTCATGCAATTCAAGTTCATGTAAAGTAGTACAGAATTACCTTGTATCAATTGTACCTATTTTGATTCACTGTTTTTACAGCTTTGGACTCCTGCACCTCATGGGAGGATTTCGTTGTTATGAAGTTATGGAAAGCTGTCTTGTATTCACTCAGTGTTATTGGGTTCACACTCATAATGATATATATTGTTAACAGAGTACTGTAGACCTTGCTTATCTTAACATGATCAAATGCATACTTGATACATTCATTTATCACTTTAAGAAGCATTCAGTAGGCCTACAAGTATTAACAATGAAATTAGTGCATTAGTTTTATACTTTCCATTTGCAATAATGCAGAAAGTTTTGTTAGTCGCCTTCTTATTTTTAATTATATGAGAATCGATTTTTGTAGTACTAGAAAGTGTTGGTAGCGAAATGAGTTTATACAAGAATACAACATCTGAAGGGAATGAATGACAGATATGCTAATCTCTAGTATTGTTTTTCACCAACTATTTATGTTCAGCTTGCCCTTGATACACAAAATAAATTTTAGGCATATGATATGGTGATTTTCTGCTACACATATTTATGTTAAATTGTTTATTGAAACCTTTCTCTTTATTCTATTTATCTCATTTTTCTTGATCTGGAACGTCTTCCACTCCCACAAAGAATTCTTTTAAACGCTTGCCTAAATTCAGGACTGAAAATCGTGTATATTACCGGATTCAACGTGGAATTGAAGTATCCCAACCAGAGAAAGAAACTTTGTAGAGAGTCACTAATGTAGCAAGTTTCACACAGAGGCAAAAGAAGAGCCATTATGAAGAAGGGAAGCCAACACACAACGAAGGCTCCAGTGATGATGGCCAACGTCTTGGCAGCCTTTCGCTCGCGCTTGGCCTCTAGACTCTCCTTCTTATCCCTCCTGTGGATCGTCGCGACGGATTTCTCGGGAGCGGTGCCGGCGCTGCCGTCCTTCTGGATGACGGCGTCCTTCTGCAGGATCTCGACGCGGCTCATGTCGCTCATATGGCTCTGGTGGCTGGCGGATCCGTTGTTGGTGGTGGTGGCGGTGGAGGACTTCTCCGGAGACACGTTGTTGGAGGTGGCGAGCACCGCCACGGCCACGCCGTCCCCGCCCTCCAGCAGCCTGACGCCGACGGCGCCCGTCTGCTCCACGCTCTTGGAGATGGTGAAGGCCGTCGTGACCACTCCTGCGGCGGCGTGCTGCTCGTCCTTGGCGTCGCCGCCCACGCCGTTGTCCGAAGACGCCTTGGTGGTCTCCTCGTCGTCCCCGACGGCGTCCACGGACGCCGTGGACTGGCCCTCGACCATCACCAGCGAGGAGACGAGCGCCTCCGCCGCGGAGGACTTCTTGCTGGGAGACTTGATGCGGTGGAAGCGGCGTTTGGAGAGGAAGCGGCGGGTGGCGGACGCGCCGCCGGCCCGGGCGTCGCCCGCGCGCGCCGAGGCGCGTTGTTGTTGGTGCTGCCGAGGGCGGCGGCGGAAGGCGTGGTCGGTGAGCTGGTGGGACCGTGCTGGCGGAGCCGGTGAATGCGTTTGGCGGCGCCGTCTGGAACGAAGTTTTTCCAGTAACGCACAGGATGACGAGCAGCGCACGTAGAAGCAGTAGAGCAGGTGAGCGAACCCTGGTACGCGATGTCCTGGCTCGACCAGGCAGCGCTGCTGCAGGTTGATGCGGTCCAGGGTATTCGCGGTCGCTTCCAGCCGAACTGCGGCGCGCAGCGACACGATCAGCGCCACGGCCACACACCACGATCATGGCGCCGATGCGCGAGCTGTTGCGAGGTGTGGATGTAGTCCAGTTCGTCACCCGCAGTACTGCGGCAAGAAGCGTCATTCAGTTTCAAAAATTCAAGCTCATTTGAAGTCTAATTTTTCTTTTTTCCTTCTTTGGCGTATGCCGTATTTTTTGTAGTGAAAAGATATTATTTTTTTGTGTTTCGCGAATCGCATTCATCGCGGATCACATGCAATCCTACTGGTCTCAGATTTGATTATTCGGGCGTAGGTGCACTTTACTTTTCCTATAGGGAAGAATCAGCATTGAAATGCTGATTCCATTTTTATACCCAGAGTTGTTTGCCTGGGAATGGATGAATAATTTAGTGATGATTGAATGATGAAATTGACACACATACATACAGAGACACATAATCAAAAACCCAACGAAGCGGGTTCGTACCCATACCCATTGGTGAGACGCACTTGAGTACTGTTGACGTAGATCATACTTAGCGATCGCGGCGATTATATTATTATTATTTTATTATTATATTATTATTATTATTATTATTATTATTTTATTATTATTATTATTATTATTATTATTATTATTTATTATTATTATTATATTATATTATTATTATTATCATCATCATCAGTTGCGGATGTGCCATGTTGCTTTTGTCAATGTTGTCTTAGCCACATTTCCTAGCAATCACGAAGTCTGTAAGGAGTCAACTCCGGGGTATGTGTGTGTGGTGTGTGTGTGTGTGTGTGTGTGTGTGTGTGTGTGTGTGTGTGTGGTGTGTGGTTGGTGTGCGCGCGCGCGTGTATGAACAGCGTCGGCACCTAATCGGTAATTGTCAGTGAGTGTTTATGATGAAGGACAATATTTGCCGAAATGGCGGCATTTTTAAAAATTAAATCTAAATACATTAGAAATTTCAAAAATTAAAATTTAATTGAAATGTTTGAGCTCTAAAATCGAAAATATTAATTGATGTGTAGATTAATCGGTCTAAATATAATAAGTTTAAATGTGTTTATTAATCGAACAAAATAATCGATTGTTGTACTAATTGCGATTAATCCCTAGTAACTAACTGACGAATAAACAAAATAAATCCTCAGATTTAGTATACCGCAACACAATGTTCCCTGAAAGGAAGTTTTCCGTCCAGCGAACTGTCAGACATAGCCGAAAGTAGAGATCCTAGCGAACTATGACAGCACTACGGGAGTCGTCGCTGCAGCAAGGGTTGTGTCCATGGCGTTAGCAAAAACAACGTGCCCAAAACGGATCAAATTCAAAATTGTTTCAGTAACTTCCAGTGCGCGACGGTGGATCATTTTTTCCCAGCACATACAAATAGTGAATATCTTTCAAAAGAAAAAAAAATCAAGTCAGATTTCGTCCTGAACCTCTTGAAAGGTCCCTTATAAGAACTTACCTGTCCACGGCGATGGCTACGAGATGCAATATTGAAGCGGTGCAGCACAAAACGTCACTGGACGTCCACATATCGCACAGCTCCGGCCCCAGGATCCATCCCTTGCTGATCTGGAATCACACACACACACAAAGATATCAGTTCCACATGTAAAAATATTCCAGTTTTGAGACATATCGATGTTGTCTAGCATCCGGGACAAATTGTTGATCACATGTGTTAGGGCTACTGCGCTATATTCTGTATATTTTGAAGTGGACTGTATTGATGAGGTGAAAGAGAAGCACAGCAGTCCCGAAACCCTTTGGTAGCTCAGGGGGGATTTAAGTAGGAGTTCTGGATTAACAGAAAAGAAATTCTTGTACAACTACATTTAATAATTACTGCACTTTAGCACTTGGTTACATGGCACAGTTACAACATCAAAGTACATGATAGCAGGAACACAGTACTAGTAAATTTCTTGGTGCGAATGGTCTAGTGCAACTAACTTACATTACACAGACAGAATAGGTGGAATTCGTTGTAGCGCACGAATTGGGTGGAGCCCTACTTCGCACAAATTAAATGATACTTTGCACGCGCTAACCGGAAATAGCCCGAGATTAAACTGAATGTTCAAGTGGTCTGATGCAGATAACCTACACTACACAGGCAGTACACTTGAAGTTGCACGTATCAACTGGGAACGGCCCGCGGATGGACAGTAAAACTTGTAGGCATGTTAATTACACACGGAGCCCGCCAACATGGACCACATCGTAGCATCGTAGGATCGCCAGTTTCGTGCACTCTGGGGGTGGGGATAGAAGTGACCAATCGCACTTAGCCATTTGAATTTAGCGATTCCGGATTGGCGATAGAACGTTCTAGAGGGTTCCATCCGTTGCAAACTGCTAACGAGGCGAGGCTCGCACGTGTGTTTCTGGGAAAGTTGAGGGCGGTGACCGGTGGCGTGATCTTATCGATTTGACAGGGCCACGCAGTTTTAGATACAATTTCCGGTTCAAGTCTGCGTGACATGTCCTTCGGCAAGAAAGAAACTTCGAAACTGTTTGGATGGAAACAGTTTTTCAGAGTATTTAAACATTACCTTTGGATTCACCAGGTGGAGATTCTGTTAACAATAATTATCTCATTAACATTTTGGCGTATTTTCTAAGTATTCGTTTATCCTTATATTCCTTTATCCCGACTTCGGCAGCACCTTTTATTACTATGGATATAATAAAGAGCCATTTTATCTACTGTAGGAGGCTTCATTGTATTATAATAATGTGCAATTTAATCTGCTCCAAATGCATAAGTATGCAGCTTGAAAGCGAACGGATAATGTAAAATATTGTAAGAACAAAATAATTGTTTTCTTCACTTAGCAATCGTCAGTGTGCGAGACGCAATACGAATAAAGGAAATATAGTTGACGTCTTACCTACATAACATCTCTACACCAACATAAATATCACTTAAAGTAATGATCAACATGCCTTTATTCGTTGCCAATATAAATATGTAATTAAAAATGGAGTGAACTTGAATTTTTATTCCAGTGCCGACAACAAATCACTGATGACAGGCCAACATGAAAGAGATTTTCACGGACTGAGAGCGCCCCCAAACACGCATCGGAGAGGCTTTCATCGCGCAACAGCCCCGTCCTTTCATGTGGACGCATCTAGGCTTTGATGCGCGGTCGTTGGAGCCAGAAACTGCCGAGCCCCAGCGCAGAGTAACGCGCGCCGTAATCTCGACCGAGGGTCTGTCTCGAGAGCAATTTTCGGTCTTTTCTGCGAGATGGCTCCACCGCGCCTAGGCGTCGCGACGCCACGCGGCGTCAGCGCCAAAGCGATCAAAGGTGCGATTCCGGCGTGTCTTTTATTACGCCACTTAACCGAGACCGTTTCGGACAGAACGACTGGCAGGCTGAGATGAGACCTGCGGCGAGGGCGGGCTTCGAAAAAGACGACGGCGAATTCGAGGGCGGAGCGACGGGG